ATAAAGATTGACAAAATTTTGTTTTTATTAATTTTGGAGCATTTTTTCATCAAGTATGGTCATTTTTTAGTGAATCTTTTGAAATTCATAATTTAGATAGTCAATTTAACCAAGTCTTTCACTTCCGATGTAGATGACAGCCTATATTCATAATATATAAAATAATAATGAATACTGTTTGGTTTAATGATACATATTTAACTTAGCCTTAAAATATGCATTATGCCATCATCACCATCAGTCCCAGTATACTCACAGGACTGTGCAGCTGAGCACCTGACCAGCTCCCCCTATATGTCTTGGTTGCATGTAGAGTCTTCATGAAAGAGACAAGTTCATGTATGAATGTTTATACCAAATCAGCTTAAGGTGTACAATAAACATAAAAGCAAAGAATTACCCAATAACAACTAAAAATTGAACACAATTCTAATTTCATTATTTACATGGAGTTAAGTTCTTCTTGCCAATTTTTTTATATCTGCATGAAGAGCAAGAAATAATGTTAGAATAAAAATTACTTTTATTCTTGCTGTCTTTAACAATAAAAGAAATACAACAGATTAGTAAATGAAAATCATTGCATGACTTTCTTTAAGAAAAGATGTACCAAACAAGAGATGTATAAATCTTAATTCTTCAATAATAATGGCTAGAAGATTAAACAGACTAAATTTTTGAGGAATCAACTGCAGAAAGAAGTAACTTGTGAAATGCTGAGAAGGTACTTAATAGAATTAAAAATTGATTTACATGGCAAAATAACTTCCAATTTCATTTCATGTTTTTTTCTTTCATATGGCAGCTCTAACCAAAATCACTAATTTATAAGATGCAATTTAAAAGGAAATTTTAATTCCTTTTGAAAAAGAAAAAAAATTGGAATACCATTGTTTCTCCAATATATAAAAAATTATTGTCAGCCAACTTACATTCCAATAAAATACAGAAGAATAAATTCTTTCATTAAATTCTTGGTAATCAAGAGGTAAGCATTTTAAAGTGTCATAAAAAAATAAATAAAAATTATTAGGAAGTGTATCGAACATGGGTCCTCTCAAGAATTATTTTTTTAATTCCATTCCTATTTTTCATCACCCACGACCCCCACCACACACACACACACACACACACACACACACACCAGCATCTATTAATACTATGTAATTGTTAAGAGATGTCATTGAATGCCAAATTGAATAAATGACCTGACCAAGACAGCTGTAAGCTTGGATGTGTGTGTGGTGTCTGTAAATATTTTTCTTGCATAAAAGGTTTCAAGAAATAGAGGGTTTATAGAAACAAGAAAATGTATTTCTAACAAAATGTTATTCTCCACATCTTATTTCAATGTGTAACAAATGAGAAATGAGGAGTGCAGAAAAAGTTCAAAGGCAATGTGAGTAGGGGAGAGGAAAAGAGAAAGAGAAATAAAGAGAGAGAACAGAATTTTTGGTATTTGGCTTTAAGGTTGCTCAAATATTCAAATTCTCATCCAACTTAATTGCAAATAAATTAAATTTGATTAAAGATTTTAAGAAAATTTTACTGAAAGTCAAAAACATATATAATTTAAATTTGCCATAATGGCCTCTAGGAAAGATAAGAATTATTCAATTTACAGAACCTGCAAGTTCACTAAATCAGAAAAACCAAGAGATGTGTTCTACTAGACTATAATGGACTTTATCTATGATAATTTAGGTGAGATTTAAGTTATTTAAATTCCTATCACTAAAACAACTTCTCTGAATTAATGTGGTTAATACAAAGCTTGGCATATATTAAAAAATATATACTTAAGAATCAGTGTATTCAAAGCAACATTTCAAATTCTAGGCCGGCCTTCAGTAAGAAATAATATTTTTAGCATCATTCTTGGGAACTCAGAGATTACAATAATTCTAAAAATTTATACAATTGAAAAAGAAATGGATATGCAGTTAAAGACTATAAGCATCTATTAAGAAAACAAAAAAATCTTGTCTGACAATATTAGACAGGAATCCCTACAATTGACAAGGTGTCTAATTTGTCAGTTGCTCTTTAAAAATAATTAAAAAATCTTGAATATATTAAGGACTATCAATACCACTTGACAATTATATAGGAATTGATGTACCATAAAATTAAATACAATTTCCCTAACACACTTACATTTAATAGGGAGCATAATACAAATAAAGTTAAGAACTGAGTGACTTATGGGGAGGGGCTGGAAAAATTTGGGAGAGGTAGAGTAAAAACAGTGAGATGTTTGGAAGTAGCAAGTACAATAACAGTTAGTATTTATCTATTTTATGATAGAAATAGACATTACCATATAATGTTCAAGAAAACATTCTCTTTCCTATTAATGCCCACATATTAAAGAGAAAAAAAAAAACAATAGGACTAATGTGAATAACAGTAAGTGGCTTATTTTGAAAATCCTCACTTCATGAATTTGACAGTGTTTCAATTCTTGACCTCAAACCAAAAGCCAGAGATTTTGTGTAAGCCCTATCAAAAGTCTACAAAATGCCCTTAACATTAAATAGACATTCTACTCTTGGGTTAAAGAAAAATGCTAATGAAACCAAAAGGAGACAAAGACCTGCAATAAATAGTGAGTCTAAAAAAAAAAGGCAGAAAGAAAGAACCTGGTAATTGTTAGGAAAGATACAACAGACACAAGTGCTTCAACAAAATGACCCAATATTTCAGTAATCAAACTCATGTCAACATTTTAGTTAAAAAAAGATATAATAAAAAATTTAAAAAACACTGGAAGAATCTTTTGTAATGAAAGAATGTATACACTTCAAACTTTGGCAAGTATAGCAACAATAATAAAAAAAATTATCATTCAAGCATTTATTAAAAATTCTCCATCTCTTTTGAAAGAGAACATGCTGGGATCATGTAACTTCTATTAGTTTATAGAGTTCAATGCAACAACCCAACATCTTCCAATTTACAATTGATACTAGTGCATTTAATGAAATTCTACTTTTTTTAACATTTACATATGATAATTTTGTTTCTACTTTAAACATGATAACAAATAGACAAAGTGGTGTATCAATGAAATATACAAAAATCATTTATTACAGAAAAATAGTAATATCAAGAGGGAAGCAAAGAGTATTAAATATTAGATAATATTGGTTTGTAAAGGTTTATTTGCTTAATAATGGCAACATCTGTACAGTTAGGATGAAAGCCGGGTTCATCTGCACAGGTCTAAACAAACAGCAGCTTTTTGTATGAAATGTTCCGAGTTTTGAAATTTCAAATTAATAGAGAAATGTTTAACAACTTAAATGTTTACAAAAGGTAATACAACACAGGCAATTGCAAAATTGATCAGCAGGTATTATTGAACAGTAAACAAGATCCTAGATAACACTGATGCAGATCTGATAAGGGCTAGTTAAGGACTTTATCTCATTGATCTGTATCCCTTTCCAAGAGTGAAGTTATAAAACATTTGTCTGTATCAAGCTACAAAAGGTTTAGGCATTGTAGCAAGAAGAAAGTGATGAAAATCACAAATTTGCAGGTCGTAAACCAGGTGGCATAAATATGATCACTAGAGGTCCTTTTAAATGACATCCATAAGGAAAATTAAATGAAATGAGCAACTAAATAAATGAAGACCAATTTTTCATTGACAAATCCCATTTTACCATCTAATGGGTCTGATTTATAAAGCAAAAGCTGACTGGTTGGCTGGCAGAAACTATCCTCATGAGTTAGAACATCAAAATTTAAAGGTTGTATGATATTTTAGAGTAGGATTATAAATGGTGGGGAGTGAGATGAGTTCCAGATGGTATTAAGAGGACAGTTCAGACATATACTGATTTTTTGAAGTCATTCATGGAAACATTGTTTAAGATGAAGTTAAGCACTTTCAGAAAGATGATTTCTATGTATGACAATGCTACAGCACATTTGGTAAAAGGTTCAAAGACTTAATGAAGTGGCCAATTTGTTCACCCAACTTTAATCTAATTGAAAACTTATATAGCATTCTGTAAAGGAAGATTTATATTTGGTAAATGGTAATTTACCAACAAAAATGAATTTTGGAATGATATTCTGGATGAGTGCAGTTTGTTTCATATGAATAAATACAACAGATCACAAAAATCAATGGATCAACAACTTCTAAAACTAGTTTCAGAATGAATGTTGTGTTTATTAATTTGTCATCATTATAATGACAATGTTTTCACTTTTTTCAAGCATTTGCCTTACCTTTGTGCTAATTCTGAAATTTTAGTTTGAATTACAACAATGTCATGCACTTGAATGACAAAGTGAAAAAATTCTGTTTCACATTTCATCCTCTAAGAGGACTTCATTCTTATTGATGGAATTATATATATGTAGGAGGAGATATAATAAATGTAAATAGTCAGTTATAATTATGGACTGAGAAGAAGTGATGAAGATAAGAGAACACTAAATTTTAAATTTAGGGATTTTAAAATTTAATAAATTATTAAATTTATTTTCATCACTTTGTTCTTGCTACAATTTTATAATTGATTAAATTTAAAAAATTTTTTTCCACTTTCTTGGAATTTTTGTTTTCTAAAAATTAAGAAAAACTAAAAGTATTGAAAGGACTAGTGTATGTATATTGATATATTAGTAACAGTTTTTCATTTATACAGATTTTATTAAAGATCACAGAAAAAGACTTGTTTTGAAAGGTTATTTTAGTGATTTCCTTTAATTTTCATACAAGTTAAAGAATGTTTGGTTCCAATGTATGTAAAAATTGTATGTGCATATCAGTTCAAGTGCTTCAAGCCTTTAATGGTCATTTTCAAGAATAGAATGTTATAGTTCAATATGTTATTGAAATTCATATCTAGAAATATTCATGGCATCATTTTCATGCTGATTACAATAAATGTAAACCTTTCACATGCAATTATTTGTAAACAATCGTGTGCTTAATTATTGATCTATTTAATGTATTTCTCCAAAGACTGAAGGGCTTATAACCATATCAAGTTGAAACACCAGTGCTCGTCTGATCACCAAAGCTATGCAATGTTGAGCTTGGTCAGTACCTAGATGGGTGACTGTTTGGGAATAGCAGGTGCTGTAAGCTTGGATGTGGGGTGGGGGTGTAGCGGATAATTATTTAGAATGAGAAATTGGAGAGGCAAGTTTGAATTCCAGTCTGGTTTGTTAAATTCACTTAGATGCAAATACCATTGGGGAAAGTATGAATCTATCTCTTGATAAGCTGTAAAAAAAATTCAATCTAAATTTGAAATACTTTATTTGATATATCTTTTGCTTTTATGATAACTTATTTGCCTTTGTATAGTTATATAATATCTTTGTATTGTTTACAAGTATGTGTCTAATAGTGGTGGAAATATACTGGCTTTGTGTATGAGAGAGAGAGAGAGAGTATAAAAAGATGCAGAAAAAGAAGAATGAATAATTTTCTACTTTTTGTTTCATTTATACTCTATTTTCTCTTTTCAGTTGAGATATCATAAGATAATATATGTCAAATAATATTGTTATGCATCAATTCAAGAGATTTTCTTTTTCTTTTGATTCTTTTTCTTCTCTTTACTTTAATAATAAAAAATAAAAATTCATACTAGTCAAAAAGTTTACTTTTAAGACAAATCCTTTCAATTATGCTAAATGCAATTTCTTTATGATAAAAAGGGAAGTAACTCAATTTTTAAGTAATCCAATCAATTGAGCCTTTATCATTCATTTTAATAAAGTCAAAATACTTTGAAATCTCTAATATTATTCAGGAAATTCATGTAGATTATACAATGATCAATAAGACTTGCTGAACTCAATTTGAATGAAATGACTTTTGAAAAACTTATATTGCTACATTCATATAATCAAAAGTAATCTCAAAGAATTTTGATATGTAAGAAATATTAACAAATAAGAAAATACAGTAATATTTTTCATATTTCAATGCCCATAAATACTATCTTCCAAACAGTACAGCCTAAGATGATTTGTGTGACTTCTTTATGAAAAAACAAATTAAATAATAAAACAACAAATCTTTGTAGTTACTTCATTATTTTCTAAAATGTCTGAAGAGTAAAACATTATCAGTATATCAACCTTTTTTATATAGGTAGGAAGATTATATAAGAGGGAGTGCTGTAGAGTACTCAGCAGTTAAAGAACTTTTAAAAAGTATCTGATATTTGGGTGGTTAAGTTGAGAATGTGTGTGTGTTTATATATAAGCCTTGGGACATAGCCACAGGAATATTTATTGCCATTGTCTTTCATCTCTTAGATGGTGAATACAACTGATTTTCGAAATTTCTGATACCACTCTGGCACAAATATCTCCTGTTATTTCTATTCAGGGCAACTTGCTCAAAGTTAGTATGAGGCCCATTGACAGCTGAGAGGTTACTCTTTAACTAGTCTTTATACCTGAGCCATGGCTGCCCAACACTCTGTGAAGCTGGCTATACATGAGAACCTTAGTTATTCTGTCATCACTCATCCATGCAAGATCACCAGCAGATAGATAGATAGATAGATAGATAGATAGATAAACTGTTTTCCTTGGTTATCTGTTGAAATATGTGAACAAATATTTCTTATATAAGAAGGATGATGGAACTGATTCAAATGGCTCAAATTACAATGTCAGTGTGATGTCTAGTAGCAAAACTATCCTTTTAAACTATCTTATTAGTGTTGGTCTCTTATACAAAAAGACTGACTAAAAACTGCATTAATATGCACACGAGCAAAGGTATATAAGGAGAAAACAAACCATGTACTTAAGGTCAGACTTAAAGAACATATGAAAGCTATAACCAAAAGTGAAGTATAAAATCTTGTCTGAAGGAAGCAAGCATTATTCCTCCAAGAATCTGGTCTAGATAATTGATAGGGAACATTTTTGGGAGAATAAGGAATTTGAATGAGGTGTCATATATCAGCCTGTCAGCCAGGTGCATATCAGGCTGGTACAAATTTCAAAATTGTCGTTTTCAATGCTGAGCAAAATCAGTACTCCACCCCCAAGGATAATTTGGAATCACCGAGGTACTTAGTGTACCTAATGCTGTTGAAATGGACTGATCTGGCCAGGATATTAATGACCATTTTACCATTACCAATTTTCCCCCCTTGAAAAAAGAAATTCTGGGTCCCCCCCCTCTCACATGAATACACCTGAAGAATGAATTTTCTGAAAAATTTGATTAACAACAGCAAACATATGAAGTAAGTTGTTCAACTGTCTGAACAATTCTAAAAGTTATAGACAATAATAAATAGATTTTATATCAGAGAAAGAGAGAAGAAAATTAAATTTGTACTGCTTCTTCCTTATTATCTTTCCATGGAACCTAGACTAGATCAATGCTGTTGATATATTTACAGTAGGAGGCTAGGATTCATGCCTTAAGACATTGGCTGGAAAAGAACCCATAATTGACAACCAACAATCCCATAATTGCTTTCATTTTAATTCTTAAAAAGATCATTTCTCACTTAAATATATTTTGTAAAAACTTGAAAAAAAATCCAATATTTAAATTGAATTTAATTTGAACACCTGCTTTGTTACTGTAAATGGTGACATGACATTTAGAAAAATTAAGCTATTGCTATAAGAAATGATGATTTGTATATATAAGAAAGTGTGTGTTTTTGGAAAATTTAGTCATAAAACAAAAAAAATGACGCTCTGAGACTTGAAGTAATTGTCTCCTTTTAAACAATCTCTTTTATGCTTTTTGCATACTAGTGCAAAATAGTAGCAGCATATTAAAATTCTCTGAACCTTTGAGTAGTACCTCATGTAGAGCTGTACAGATTCATAGAATATGTGATTAGGTGTTATCCCAATGTTCTGAAAATGGGTTCTTCTCAAACAAATCATGAACAAAAAAGGGATAATATTAATTTTATCATTTCAGCGCTTATTCAAAATATTATCATTCAAAGTAACTCAATGTTTCTTTTTAAGTCAAAAATAAAACAAATAAAAAAATGAAAAATACAATAGAAATATTTTTTAAAATATTTGCACACACGAATATTGTATTAAAAACTAATAACTTTCTCAAGTGTTTCTCTCCACACAAAATATTTCAAACAAAAGTAAAATTTTTCTATCTATAATTACCTGTTTTTATATAGTAACTTTAACATCTTTGACAAAAATATCAACGTAAGAGAATTATCATTTTTACTATTTTAATTATTCTCAAAGTATGTAAAGATCTGTTAAAATCATCTGCCTGCTTTATGTTATTATGTAAATTAAATTTGTGAATGTGTTTGTTTTTTGGTTTTTTTTTTTTTTTTGCTGAAGGTCGTTTGTTAAATGAAGCTTGTAGTCCTGTGGAGTTACCTCCCCTACATCTAATTTTAAAAGATTTACTTAGTAAAATGAAAAAAAATCTTGCACGCATATCTGAAAAAAAATCAAAAAAAATCACATAGGGTGAGATAACAAACAAATCCTAGAATTATTCTGGAAAATTATAAATAATAATTAAAATGTCTATCAACGAGAGCAATTATAATCAAAATCTATGATCCAAATCCTACCAAAAAACGAATGTTTACATTTTCGTCCAGATGTTTTTAATCTTTCTGGGTTTTTTTTAACTATTTTGATCACCACTGATAATTTTCATCTTTTAAATTTGGTAAACATTTTTCAGTTCACAAAAGTAGCAAGCATGTTTACAATGCTCCAAGTACACTATTTACATTATTCGGACTATTGTTCTCATCTTTGTCGCCATATTTATTACAACGTTTCGGTCGTTGTATGCTCCAGCCTTCTTCAAGTGGTTGGAATGTCGAACTGAACCCTTTATTTCGCTCACTGTTCTAGTTCCACGTGCCATGGATGTCAGTTGTCAGTTATCTCCTGTTAATTCCCCTCTCCAAGTTAACCACTGTCTTAAACCGGGTATTGAACTCACACTCTTTGGGTCCTATCACTGGATCTAACTAACGCCTTTAGGAGGGGAAGTGGAAAAATCAGGTGTGGCTGACCACATATGAAGAAAAAAGGGAGATCACCACCTTTAGGAGGAGAAGTGGAAAAATCAGGTGTGGTTGACCACATATGAAAAGAAAAGGGAGATCAAAGCCTTTAAGAGGGGAAGTGGGAAAATCAGGTGTGGCTGACCACATATGGAGAGAAAAGGGAGATCACCACCCTTTGTGGGATCAGGTTGAGGTCATAGACAAAGAACACCATTGGAAAATTCGTAAACTTAAGGAATCAGCACATATGCTAGGCCACAAAAATCTCCTGAGCCGACCAAGCATAGAAATGAATACAATATGGGAACCAGTAATAAGGAGTGCCAGAGAAAAGCGATAATAACAGCAAAAATTGCAATATGAGCACTGGTAAAAAAAATGGTTACTGATGACATTACGTTTCGGTTTATAATACCCAGAAATTCATAAATAGATGTCCTCAAGGACACATGGCACAGTGGATAAAGGCGTTAGAAACAGTTAGATCCAGTGACAGGACCCAAAGAGTGTGAGTTCAATGCCCAGTTATACCCAGTTAAGGCAGTGGAGAACTTGGAGAGGGGAATTAACAGGAGATATAACTGATTGATATCCATTAACTAGAACAGTCTACCCCAACGAAATAAAGGGTTCAGTCAGTTCGATATTCCAACCACCGGAGTGGACAACGGCCGAAACGTAATAAATATGGCCGTTGTAATAAATATGGCGACAAAGATGAGGACAATAGTCCGAATAATGTATTGTAAATAGTGTACAGAAATATATAGACAGATACGTAAGTATCTATAGACAGATATGTAAGTTTGAATTACAGTGTACTGTAAATTATATTGAGAGTGTAATTTAATTATTACACTCTCAATATAATTTTTGCATTTGTTTCTATTTTAAACTGTGAAAAGATTTTAGTAATATTATTTTTATATTTTTCATAATTATCCTTATTTTGTTTGGAGATAATATTTTGATATAATTTAGCAAATTGACTATTTTTACATCAATGACAAAAATTCGCAAGAACAAAAACTATTTAGTAAAAAGTAAAAATAATTTTTTTAATGAGAAATTTATTTATTGAAAAAAAGTTTGAACAAAGTAACTAAAAGTAAAAGTAAAAATAAATTGCAAGAATTTTTTCTCTTGCGACTTCTTTTTAAAAATTTAGACTTTTTTCCATTGTTAGTCATTAACAATATTAATAGTGAAAAAAGAAGAATCGAAAAGATGCATGTCTACTCATCTAATAATTCTATAATAAGATTAAAAAAACAAAACAAAAAACGAAAATTAAAATAGAAAGGAAGAATGTCTATACGATTTGTAATCTGATTTGTTACAGGAAAAAAATGTGAAATAAAAATAGACGGCCTAAAAAACCTTAAAGGGCGCCAACTCTAATTTAAAACTCGATTTTTATTGGTCAGCATTTAACCAATCAAATATTATTAATATTCTCGTCCCGCAAAACTATTCAATTGACGTTGTTCAGAGTCTCCTTTTTTTTTGTATGAAATAAAAATAAAATGGTTCCGAAAATATCGAGACTCATGTACTATTTTTCTGTATTAATTGAAATTATAGTTTTTTTATGAGCAATCGGTAAATTTTGAAGGAAAAATAACTTTTTTCGCTTCGGTATCAATCAACTCACAATAAATAGAAAGACCGATTTTCATAGTAAGTAAATAAATCGTTTCAAATTTAGCATTCAAAGTCAAAAGAAAAAAGATCTATGGATCAACTTTCTAAAAACACTTCGACTTTTTTTTTCAGTGTTCAGAGAATAAAGTAGTTTAAACTCACTTTTTAGAGAAAAAGTGTGGATAAAGTACAGTAGACTGTTAGTGTTGTTAAATAAAAATCTCACCGATTAAAAATATTTGGCAACTATTAAATTAAAAAGTTGCATAAAATTACATTTCTAATCGTACACCAGAAAGTTTTTTTTTTTCAAAATACTGTCACAAAAAGATTTAAAAATAAAAATGAAGGCTCTAAAATAAGTTTAATATAAGTTCTTTCCCTTAGATCGACCGACAAATAAACTTCTGTTCACTGACAAGTTTTATTTTTATTTTTTGAACATAAACAACATAAAACGAAAAATAAAGGCCAGATTTCAATTTCTTTGAAGTAATCCAAAAGAATTTTGGTTGTTAATTTATATTTGTAATATAGTTTAATATTGTATTATTATTTCTTTTGAAAATTTGTATAACAAAGAATACAAAGTAAAATTTTTATGAACAGAGATTAAAACTTTTCTCCATTAACATGCATAATTCCAAATAATATGAAAACTTCAAATTTGAATGATTTGAATAAATATTCCTTTCAAATGAAAATTTAACTTTAATAATTTACTAATTTTTTTTTTAATTTTCTTATAAGAAACTAAGAAGAATTAAGTTCCAAATTAGTGTTCATTACTAAGCAAGCACACAGATATTTGAACAAAACAGATTCTAGTCTTCTACTCAAAAGCTATTGACCTCTATGTCTCTGAGTTGCTATTCTCTCTTGGGGAGTAATTATAAAGTACACTCACCTA